AGGGGGGAGAGGGGGAGGGAAAAGTCGTCCCATCGCAGCGCAGCGCTTCCCTTGTTTGACAGCAATCGACCAACCAAGGCTCGGCATGCAAGAGTCAAGGAAAAGAAGGGGCAAGGGGGCAAGAGGAAGGAACAGGAACAACTTCTGCGTTTCGGGGAGGGAGGGGTGGGGTGGCTTGACGGGAAGGTGTCCCGAGGGGAGTGTTTACATCCTGCAGTTATTGATACGATCCGGGAGGAGATGAAAGGTAACCGATGACAGCGTCCACTAAATCACTGAACCTCACCTCTCGTGGTCCTGGCGTTTCGGCTCCACCTCGAAGAGGCCCAGAGGATCGCCGGCGGCCCCCGAGACCCTCGCCGCTCGGCCACGGTGGGGCGGCGTCGCTACTTCCTCATGACGAGCTGCGTCTCGAAGATGGTCTTGGGCGGGCAGTGGTGGCGGCAGCAGTGGCCCGGCTTGGCAGTCTGCACGCACAGCGTGGTCACGCTCGCACCCCGGGCGCCCGTCGCGCGGCTGCACGACGACTGCTCCATCGAGATGGACATGTCGTCCACCGAGATGACCATCCGCGGGCGGCACGGGTCCCGGTTGTCGACCTGCACCTTGGCGCGGCTCTCCGGCATCTCGGCCACCACCACGTTCCCCGTGCAGGTGCCCTTGGAGCGGCGCGGCGGCAGCTCCGCCAGCTGGGAGCAGCAGCTCGCCGACGACTCGTCCCCCACCGTCATCTGGAGCGTCGTCTTCTTCGACATGGCCTTCGTGCACCACTTCCTGCGACTGCTGCCAATCTGGAAAGCAAGGGAGGCTTTTAGTGCGAAAAGCAAAATATTATCGTGACAGAAAACGCCGTTGATTGCACAAAAGGGGCTGCTTCTCCCGCAGATGGCCGGCTGCTCAAGTTGTTCCAGCCTTACCCCCTCTAGCACCGCACACTAAGAGCTCCCCGACCGCCACACCGGAGGAACGCCAAAGGTCGCGATCTGGAGTCTTCGGGGCCACGGAGATGTCTGCACACCGAGCTGACCCAGATCATCGGGGCCCAACGCGGACTGGTGGGGGCGCATCGCGTATCGGTGGTGGGGGGAGGGAGGCTCCCTAGGAGGCCCGGGCCCGGGGGAGCCGAGATGCGCGGAGGAAGGGCGGCATTCCGGGGTAGCTCACGGCACAAAGTACGCGGAAAGCCGGAACATCGATTCTCCTTCCCTCTCCTGATTATAAATGCGCAGTGCGAGCAGCGCCGCGTCGTTGCGCGTGGGCCAGAGGGTTAGTCGAGGCCGCGCAGGTCGTGTTGTTGTTTACCACTCACCGGCGGGGTCCGTGAGCTCGGTGATGGTGACCCCTCCCACCGGCTCGGCCGCGTCGCCACCGGGGTCGCCCGCGGCCTCGCGGCCCTGCCCCTCGCCGGGCACGTCCGGGCACGGCGGCTTGTCGCGCCACCAGAAGTACTCCCGGAGCACGTCCAGCGCCGGCGTGTAGCCCCAGAACATGTCGCTCCCCGCCGTGTGCGGCGACCTGAGCGGACGACGGGCGTCCCGGGCGCCGGCGCCGCCAACAATACGGCCGCGAGCGGCTGGGCGCGGCTGGGCGCGGCGGGCGCGGCGGGCGCGGCGGGAGGGGGACGCACGCGCATCGACTCAACGCGACATGTCGCCCGGGCAACGGCTCTGGGGTTGGGGCGCGGGCCCGATCCGCGTCTTACACCGGGCAGGATGTATACAAACTCATTTCGTGCCATCGACTTTTCTGTTTTACTTGTGGATTAACGGCTAGGTGGAGGAGTCGCGATAAAAAGCGATGGAGCCGTAGGATGATGACTAGATCCGCCACCCTCCCCGCTCTCGGCCAGTGCGATGGTGTGATGCCGCGTCCGCGCGCTGCGGTGCCACGCCGTGTCGCCCGCGCAACAGGTAGGGGGCGTGCCTTGGGCGCGGGGTGTCCCCGCCCTCCGGCTGAAGTCAACCCAGACCGTGGGGTATCGCCTCTCACGTCCTCTCACCGGTAAAAAGTGGAAATGGCGTAAAGTCCAATATGAAGCCCGAGGACTTACGCTCTTTTCACCTTTCACCAGTGAAATAAGCAGCAAAGACAGCCAACTAAAATCACACTTTTGATAATGTAGAACATGCGTTACAAACAAATTAAAAATACGATTTAAAAATTATATGGCCGGAGGTGCTATGGTCCGCTGTCGTTTGGTCGGTTAAGCATGCGTCACAGCATTTGTCGTAGTTTCCTGCAGTATTCGCAGATGAAGGAGCAGATGGTGTTGTTTTGCGGGGTCGCATCGCCGTGGTCGGCCCCAGGTGCAGTTTCAGGAGTCTCGAAGGGCTCCGTCCTGAAGTCTACGGGGGACGCGGCCGGGCTCGACGGGGACATCGCCCTCCGCCTGCCACGCGGCCGTTGGGAGCGGCTATCCCTGGTGGCAAAGGGTTAAAGTCAAAGGGAACCAGGTTGTGCGGGCAGCCGATGGCTGGAAAGGACACTCACCTGCAGGTGTGCTTGCGGTGGGTAGAGTGCGTGGGCTCCCTTTTGTGCCGGGCCGCGCTGTGCGGCGGGGATGGGGGCTCGGACTCCTGCACGTCCAGGATCGCCAGGGGCTCGCGCCACCGGAGCTGCTCGCGGCCAGCGTGTTCAGGAGGTCGGTAATAGCGGTCTCGGTGAGTCGCTGCACCTCGGGAGGTTCTTGGCGACGGCTGCTGCTTGGCAGCCCCGGGCGACGCGTCGCGCACGACGCGAAGCTGGTTCCGGATGACGGTCGCGGGCCGCGGGCCCTTGGAGATCGCCCGGACGTACTCGCTGAGGTGCGCCAGGTAATCCCGGTGGTCGCGCGCGGTCTGCGCGGCAGCCCGCCGGTTGGCCTGCCCCGCCGCGCGCGACTCGAACAGCGTCAGCAGCTGCTTGGCGTCCCCGGGGTCGGGCCCGTCGTAGCGCGGGCAGGTGGGCAGGTGCTGCAGCGGCCGGTGCGGCGCACCCCGCGCCGGCGGAGGGCGCGCAGAGTGGCGCGCCGCGGCCGTCACCAGGTCCGTCTTGGCGTAGATCTTAGCCAGGTGGATGTTGGACTTGACCGCACCGACGTAGACGCTCGCCCTCGACTGGACCCTCGGCGACACGGATGAACCGACCCTCGAGGCGGGCCTGGAGGCGGAGTCCTCCGCGTCGTCCTGGAGCGCCCGACGGTGCGGCGACCTGTGTCGGTGCGGCTGGCCGCCGTCGTAGGCGCGCAGCTGCACCCCCAGCCGCGACTGGCGCGAGGAGCCGATCCTGAGGCGCACGGGTAGACGGGGCCCGGCGGCGGCCCGGTGGGCGGCTCGCGGGCTGGCGCGGTACTCGACGCAGCGCAGGCAGCCGCGGAGGCCCTCCTCGTCCACCGCGCCGGTGCCAGCCGCCGGACCGGGGGCCTCGGGGCGGATGCTGCGCCCTGGACAGATGCGGGTGGTCAGGCAGGCCAGCCTCGCTTTCCACCTTACGGCGCTAAGCGCTAAGCTAAGTTTAGGCAACGTCTTACCCGGGGGTTGCGCGGAGGGTGGCGGTGACCGCCTCCACCAGGCGAGGCGGGCGGCGGATGTGCTGCGCTTGGCGCCGTACGGCCGGTGTGGGCCGTACGGGCCGTGCAGGGCGTGGGGCCGGTACTGCCCGGGCGGCCTGGCGGGCTTGTTAGCCTTCGCCTGGACCAAGCCTCTCCTCCTCTGCAAGGCCTCCTGCTCCTCATCTGCCTGCTCCTTCTCGTACTCCTCCAGGCTGAAGCACACCGACGAGGACGGCCGGACTAGGCCGGGGACCACTAGCGTGTTGATTTTGCTGCTGCTGTAATCTGCTGGCGCGCTCCGGTCTGCAGGGACAAACACCGAAGGGTCCGGCACCGACTTGGAAAAGTAAACGTGCGAGGTGTGCACGGGTATTGCCACTTACGTAGTGTCATTAAACTGCTTCCGCTGAAACCAGGGCCGACTTTCTCGTCTTTCCGTTCCCCATGCCGCCCATCTTGTACCGTTTTCTTGTTCACCTGTTCGCCCGTCTTTACACCTTTGTCATCAGCAATTCCACCCTTTGCAGCTTCATCCTTGCCCTGGGCCCCGTTAGGTGTCTTGCTGAGGGGACGCCCCAGGATGCCTCTCCTGGGCACCGTCCCCGCCTCCGCCTCCCCCCGCCTCTTCTTGTCCTCGTCGTCCTCTTCCAGACTGAAGCACACCGACGATGCCGGCCCCGGACTGTCGGCAGCCTGGCCTCGCTGGTCGTCGGGCGCCAGGAGTACGACGCAGCTCACGCCCTGCTCCTCGCGGGGCTTGAGTTTGGCTTGCGCCGGGCTCTCGACCTTGTTGCGGAGCACCCCGCTTACCGGCGCTGAATACGCAGGAAGGAATGTGTAACTTAACGTGTCATCCGCTTTTTGCATAAGTTAAGCAGCACCACCTAAGATTACCGCCCAGCCTACCCGGGGCTACAGTCACGATGGTCGGCGGTGTTGGCAACGGCCGAGGAAGCTGCTGTCCACGCTTGGGCGGGGGTGGGGGCGGTGGAG